GCGGGGCCTGCTTCGCATTCCGGCCTCTGCCGCTTGTGTATGCCACGCGCCCGCCGCCAGAGGTTCAAAGCGCTCTCTGCTTCACGCTGCCGCTGTAATATGCCGCACAAGCGCCGGCAGCTGCAGCATCCACCCGGGATCTCAATCGAGCTGAGAAGGGCGAGAGGCAATTTACTGCAATCGCGCGCCTGCCCTGCAGCAATCTCGGCTCCTGAGATTTAATATCAAAGAATGGGTTCCAAATTCTTTAAAAAAAACTACAATTAAAACTAATTATGATTTTGAGACGAGGTAATTTAGTAACTCATTAATGTAGGATTCAAGGTGGGTATGTAATACAATAATCTTAGCCAAAAGTCATGATATGCTATTGGCGTTAAAAAAACAAGACAATTTACAGGGAACGAAATCTATAAGGTAACGATCTTATGCGAATAAGCTGAGTTAGAAGAAAGTATTTGATGCACGTTTAAATATAATTTTATAAACTATTCTACGATATTTTCAATTTTCACAAATTATTTGAAATTGCGATGAATGGCCTATGAGAAAACCAAACTGACCACCTGAGAAAAAAAAAGTACAACAGAAAGGGATATTAGTCTAATATTGTCCAATGAATTCAAAAGCGAAGTTGGTTATTTCCACTTCTCTTTAACCCCATCCTCACTTTTGCCTTCCGGTCATTCATGAACACCCTACATTGGCTTCAAATTGAAGACGTACATCCACAACTTCTCGTCTCCTCAGTGTTAAACGTACATCAAAGTCGCATATTGTCGCCATTTCATAACCCTTAATCAAGTCGCAGAACGCATTTTCTTTGTTTCGTCCAGAGGCCCCAGGGGGGGGGGGGCGGAAGCGGCGCAAACTGCTCCTACTCGTTCTTTTCGGCCTACCTTTTCGAACTCCTAGTTTTGCTAAATCTCCATTTATTTTTTAATATCTACATATTTTTTTCAAATTTATTTTTCAATTACATACACACAATTACTTTGAAACTCTCCCAGGGGAGTAGAGAATACATTAGTTCAAATTCCAAATTTGCATTTTTCTTCTTCGTTTGCACCAAGGATGTGCCGTGTATCGCGTAAGGCAATCCTCTGCCGTTATCTGCCCGCCTGGTTCCCGGCTTCCCACGAGGGCGGTGCCGCCCTGTCAGCTGAGCACTATCCGCCTCGATCTGCCTCCGCGCGGTGACGTCACGCCTTCTGCCCCGCCCCCCTCTCTTCCCACACTGCAGTCCAACAGCTCCACAGCTGCTCGAAAGAGAAGTACCTGCAGGACGCTCACAACACTCGCTTTATGCCTCATCCAAGAAACGGAGCCTTTGCGACAAATGTGGTTGACCTACTGTAGGACAGCAGCAAGCTCGTCCAAAATATAAACAAATATAAATTGAGAAGTTAATAAAATAAGGAAATATGAGATTGAAGTAAATCTTTCATTAATGTGTTGGGGCATCGAAGACCGTTTATAAATTGGCCCGTAGTCCCGCAGACTCACAGTGATGCAGAGCTGTCAAACAGTAATACATAAACACAGATGGCGGACTTCTACGACACAGGGATACAAATGTTGACCCAACGGTATAGCAAATGTGTTTATTCTGGTAGTGATTATGCGGGAAAATAAAGCAACACAAGCTGTATCTGCCACAATGAAGCATTTCCATAAAGGTAAGTTCCCTTTTGGTTGGCGAACTAGTGCAAATTATAATCAAAATTTAATTATAAAAAATATATTTCATAATACAATTTTCAATTAAACTAAATTTCTAGTAATCGACGTACAACTCTCAATTAAAACTTTCAACATTATTGTATTACTGTATATTGCATTACATTTGTTTTCCAGTCACCAGCTAATCTTTTTACCACTGGAGGCCGCGCCATCCCTGCATGTGAACATATGAACGATCATATTTTACAAAAAGACACTGTAATAAATACTGTGCGATTCATGTTATTAACTTACACATTACGAGACAGATGCTTATCTGGGAAGTCGAACGGGCATATTTTTGGTCAACTTTTCTGCGAAAGGTATTTCTGAAAATACAAAAATCTTGTGTAACTGAATACTATGATATGTAAATAATTAAAGGCAATGGGGGCGAAATATTATATTTCGAAGTGTTTCCGACTAGGGAGCCTGCGACAAGCACAAACTCAGGAGAAACCCGCTCCTCCAGCCAACGTAGTTCTTGGAGGCTTGAAACTATGCTTTTTCAAGTAATACCTAAACAAAGGTTTACTGTCGTTTGAAAACCGAAACTACTGCTACTGACTCCGTCCGTAGAAGCCTACGCTCTCAAAGCAGTTATACGCATTATAATTATATTTAACTTATAAAAACTCAAAAATAAAATATTTTAAATTTATATAATATTTAAGTATTAAAAGAACAGGGTGTAGTTCCTAAGAGTGATGAGACATCGATAACAAAACATCGATGTTCAAAATTAAAACTTCGATATTAAAAATACGTCCACTAAAAAACATCGATGATTTTAGACTGGATTAGCAACTCCTAACATTAAATTCGTGTGCATTAAAATTTAATTGGAAGAACGGGCAGACCCTACGCGCACAACGTATTTGTTGACCATATCTCAATGTGCCAAATGAATAGGAAGAGAAAGGGAATACAAGGACATGGAGGTCATCTCAGGTGAGAGTGTTTGGTCGAAGAAAGTAGTGCAAACAGCCTTCCTTTGCTTCTAACACATGAATGACCGAGAAACTATCAGTTATGTCATGGAATTTTTCATTCAGAAACAAAACATCAGAAAAGAAACCTCGGTCACAAAACATCGATGTCAAAAAGAACGTCATCGTTAATACATCGATGTTACTACAAAAACCTCGAGATCGATGTCGCATCCCTGGTTCCTAGTTGTACGTAGGGGTGACAAACACACAATAGTCTTCGCAATGGTCCTAACTCGGCGACACATATGACCGAGTGACGAGTCACTTATTGAATATTGCGGAAACTCACGCCACACCGCCGCCACTTCCGGCCGCATGGCAACCGCGCTACTCCAGCGATAGCTGCCAGCAACAACACAACGCAACGCAACACGCCCCTCCGCGCTGGGGAGCAGCGGCTACGTGCGCGGAACAGAAGTCGCGTGCGCGGGAAGTCGCTTCGCGGACGTTTGCGTGCAGCCCCGCTAATGCGCGAGTTCCACGTGAGAGAGAGACAGAGAGAGGTGGGACGGACAGGGAACGAGGAAACTGGCTCAGGAGAGAAAGATGGTAAACCAAATGGAGAGACGGCATTAGGAAACTGAAAACGCCATTTCGTCTGGCAAATTCAACCAATTACTTCGCCAAGAAACCTTCCACGTGCTGTGATAATCCTTGGAGGCACGCCAATCTGACTCACATGGTTATCTACAACCGATTTGAATGAGTGTAAACAGTTCTCTAGCTTTGAAAGAGTTTGTGGAGCAGTTCTTTTTGTTTGTAAAGTACAGATGAAAAATAAAACCGCGGTGAAGTCGACATAGTAGAGTTTCAAAATTCGCACAGACACACATGCACGAACGTGTAATCGTAAACGTATGCACATACTCACATGCGTACATGTATACAGAAACGTACGTCCCCGTGCGCGAGTGTATCAGAGAGAACATCGGAGTTAATGTGTGAGCATGTGCGCGTGCTTATATATTATGTGATTGTACATTGTATGTATGTGGTATATGATTAAATTAAGTTGTGCACACCACACCATACTATGTATACCCACTGTGTGTCATTTTATGTGCACGAACGTAAGACTACATTTGAGTGTATATAAAAGTACGCAGCACGGGTGCGTGAAAACTTCATCCTCAGAAGCAAACTACGTAAACCCATTACCTCGATTTACAGCAAGATTTTAAAAAACGATCAACCTGTATTGTTCGTCGTGATGTTGACGCTATACTGATGCGCCAAGACAGTTCGTGAATTTAACCTCACGATAGTCTTAAAGTATAAGCAAAACAATTTCTTGTGCGAATAAATTACTAAAGACAATTCAAAACTGAAAAAAAAAGTATCACAAAAAAATTCTTTATACATGAAATTGCAGAATACGTAACTCAAAAGCAATTTCCTGATACGAGATACAAAACGATGTAAAAGAACGACGGATTTCACTTTTAACACCCGTGATTTCCTTACGTCGCAAACTCCTAGGTTGTGAAACGTCCAGCTCCACACTAGTATATTTTTTTGCAATACGACGTCGGTTGCCTCCTTTTGTTAACTGCCTTTTCTACGAACAATAAAGCGCGTCCTACCCACTCCGGGAAAGACCCGGTTACGTACGCTCACTCCTCCTAACGAGATGGAGAGCAGGAGGGGGGGGAGTGCCTGGCGGCAGGGAAGGGGAGGGGAGGGGACGGGCGGGGTCAAAGTGTCACCCAACCGTTTCATTAAACATCATCAACGTTGTTTGTGGTAATGATGAATGAGGAGCCGGGTCCCGCTGTGACATGTGTGCCGCAAACAACAGCGCCCCCCGCTATTTGTCTTCAAAAGTCTCCACGCGACGTTCGAGAGCGGCTCGACAACGTGCAGCCCAGACCTCCTCCAACTTTATTCTAATTACCACGACGCCACGTTGCATTGAGCCGTTTTATAAGATTTTTTCCGCACGTGATTCCGAGTGTAAGAAATCTCACTTAGCACTGCGTCACGTAGAGCAACTGGGAAGTTCTACATTCTAATTCAGAAACACTATACATAAGGAAACGATTAAACTGTTCCGATTAATATTTAAACGATTTTTTGTGAAAGAAATGCATGAAAAGTACCATGTAAATAAGGCACGGATGAGCACATCCTGAGACATCAGGAGGTACGACGTACATAAAGATAGAAGAGCAAGACAGAGTCAATAATGATGGAGCTACAGTGGACAGCGAAGTTCTAAAAACAGAAAAACAGAAACGTCTATTACTTAACACTAATCTATGTTCTAAACTATAAGATGAGCCAGAAGTGGCCATGGTTAAAAAACGGAACGTCTGACGACTGTATAGAGTAGCACATAAAACGTAACTACGAGATTAAGCATGAGTTATTCAAGAGTAGCCCGTACTACAACTGATATTGCACGAAAGTCCATGAACGCTCATATTTGGGGACTCCAATGTATCCTATTACATATAAGATTCATCCCTATTTCCATATGGTAGCATTTTTCTTTCCGGGAATCCTGCCCGAAATAAATTTAAACTATCCAACTCACTCACTGGACATATTTACAGAGTAACACAGGAAGTTGTGAAACACATCTGCATATTTACTGTTTTTTGCAGCATCCATTTGGAATTTAACTATTATTTTTTACTCGTTCCACATTTTCATTTTTTTAAATATTAGAACTCCGCAACACAAAGACAAAATATAAAAACCTACACTTCTAGAGGAAAACCCCAACAGCTTCTTAAATTTTCCATTTTTGCCGACGTATTTTTTCTGCATCAAACCCGACCCGCAAGCCGCCTACTTCTTTATTCAACGCGGAGAAAAGTACGCCTGAAGCCGGGCAACCCGCAAGGGCGCCAGTGAAAAACGAGGGCGAGACACAGTGAACCAAAATGACAAAACTAACGTCAGAGACGTTCTAGCGTATTTTTTGTAATATATAATAAAACTAGACCACACTCAATCCTTCGATTTTTAATAAAATATGTTTGGAAGTAAGATTTTTAATGTCAATTGTATTGTAATTTTCTACCGTTGTATATTTTATCTGAAAACAATGTTCGATTTCACACTACC